TGTTGTCTGGTTGTTTGTTGTTTGTTGTTTATTGTTTGTTGTTTGTTGTTTGTTGTTTGTTGTTGTTGTTGTTGTTGTTGTTTGTTGTTTGTTGTTTGTTGTTTGTTGTTTGTTGTTTGTTGTTTGTTGTTTGTTGTTTGTTGTTTGTTGTTTGTTGTTTGTTGTTTGTTGTTTGTTGTTTGTTGTTGTCGTTGTCGTTGTCGTTGTCGTTGTCGTTGTCGTTGTTGTTGTTGTTGTTATTATTGTTTTTGTTGTTGTTTTTCTCAAAATGTGGCGGGCCGTTTCAACATGTGGATGGAGGGCGAGGGGCCGTTTTCAACATGTGGCTCTCGCCTTGGCGCCGTGTCGTAGCAGTCCGGGGCAGGTTCCAGGATGGAGAGCGGCCCCTTCTCAACATGTGGCTCTCGCCTTTGCGCCGCACGCATGTGTCTTTAACGTCTCAAACAGTTTCAAGGAATCGTATGGCCGAATTCTCAAGACTACTCCAGATTTCGTAATAACAAGGAGGGGGTCTGGACCCTCCAAGACAAGCCATTTCAGACCTCCCCCGTGGGAGAACCCTCCAAAACATCGTCCCCAGACCCCCCAGGCACTCCAAGATAGCCTGGAAGAGACCCCCCCCGAAATGAGACCCCCCTCCCTTTATTACGAAATCTGGACTAGCCTTTGGCGCAATGTGGGACTGCCAGGGCGCAGCAGTGATCATGATTCGCGAAGCTGAAGTCCCAGGAATGGTGTCCTGGCACGGTTCAGGATCGCCAGGACGCAACAGCCACGTTGATCCGCGGCGTTGGAATCCTAGGAACGGTGTTTTGGCACGTCTGAGGATCCTCAGACGGTTGTCTTCTAACGGGCCACTTCCCGCAGCGACTATATTTTCAGGCGCTTCGCGTAATCCCACCAGCCCGTCTAGAAACGATGCCCTGACGAGTTGCCCTGATTAGGCATGTGGAGGGGAACGCAGAGGAACACAAGGCTATGTAAGACGTCGTGCCCCAAGACGGGGAGGTTGGAGGAGGAATCGGAGAAGGAGCCAAGGGGGGAGGAGGAGGAGGAGGAGGATGAGGAGAAGGAGGAGGATGCGGAGGATGCGGAGGAGGAGAATGCGGAGGGAGGGGGGAGGGAGGAGGGACGAGGATGGAGGATGAGCAGGCGGATGATGCTGCTGCTCCTGATGATGACGACGCTGATGATGCTGATGATGCTGGTGATGATACTGATGATGTCGATGATGATGCTGATGATGATGCTGTTGATGATGATGTTGATGCTGATGCTGATGCTTATACTGATGATCTCGATAATGCTGCTGATGATGCTGCTGTTGATGCTGATGATGCTGATGATGTTGCTTAGGATGATGCTGCTGATGCTGCTGATGCTGATGATGTTGATGATTATGATGTTGCTGATGTAATGATGCTGATGCTGGTACTGATTGTGATCATGCTGCTGCAGTTGCTGCTACTGCTGATTAGGATGCTGATGATGCTGATGATGCTGATGATGCTGATTATGATGCTGATGCTGGTGATGATGCTGATGCTGATGATGATGATGATGATGATGATGATGCTGACGTCGATTCTGACGAGGATGCTAATGCTGCTGCTGATGATGATGATGATGATGCTGATGCTGACGCTGCTGCTGATGCTGATGATGCTGATGATGATGACGATGATGATGCTGATGATGCTGATGATGCTGTTGATGATGATGCTTATGATGCTGATGATGCTGATGCTGCTGATGGTGGTGGTGGTGGTGATAAGGATGCTGCTGATGCTGATGATGATGAGGATGATGCTGATGCTGCTTATGTTGATGATGCTGATGATGCCGATGGTGCTGATGATGATGCTGCTGATGATGATGATGATGATGATGATGCTGATGATGATGATGATGATGCTGATGATACTGATGATGATGCTGCTGACGATGATGATGGTGATGCTGCTGGTGATGTTGATGATGCTGATGCTGATGCTGCTGATGATAATGACGATGCTGATGCTGATGATGATGATGATGATGATGCTGATGATGATGCTGATGACGCTGGTGTTGGTGGTGAGGATGCTGATGATGATGCTGATGTCAATGATGATGCTGCTGATGCTGCTGATGATTATGGTGATGATGCTGATGCTGCTGATGATGATGCTGATACTGATGCTGATGATGATGCTGATGCTGCTGATGATGATGTTTATTATGCTGATGATGCTGGTGACGATGATGATGCTGATGCTGATGATGATGCTGATGATGCTGATGACGCTGATGTGGATGCTGATGCTGATGATGATGCTGTTGCTGCTGATGGTGATGCTGATGAAGCCGATGCTGCTGCTCCTAACGATTTTGATGATGATGGTGATGGTGATGTTGATACTGATGTTGATGCTGATGATGATGAGGATGCTGATACCGCTGATGATGCTGATGATGCTGCTGATTATGATGACGATGATAATGATTCTGCTGTTGCTGCTGATGATGATGATGATGAGGAGGAGGAGGAGGAGGAGGAGGATGAGGAGGAGGAGGCGGAGGAAGAGAGGGATGAGGAAGAGGAGGGAGGATGAGAGATGATGATGCTGATGATGATGATGAGGAGGAGAGAAGGAGGAGAGGAGGAGGAGGAGGAGGAGGGAGGAGGAGGGGGAGGGAGGAGGAGAGGGAGGATGAGAGGAGGATTAGGAGGAGGAGGAGGAGGATGATGCGGATGAGGCAGAGGAGGATGAGGAGGGGAGGAGGATGAGGATGAGGATGAGGAGAGGAGGATGAGGAGGATGGGTGAGGAGGAGGAGGAGAGGAGGAGGAGGAGGAGGAGGGAGGAGGAGGGAGGAGGGAGGAGCGAGGAGGAGGAGAGGAGGAGGGGAGGCGGTGGAGGAGGAGGAGGGGGAGGGGGAGGGGGGGGGAGGAGGGGGGGGGAGGTGGAGGGAGGGGGAAGGAGGAGAGGAGGAGGAGGAGGAGGAGGAGGAGGAGGCGGCGGAGGAGGAGGAGGAGGAGGAGGAGGAGGAGGAGGAGGAGGAGGAGGGGGGGCAGCAGAAAGGCCAGAGGCTTCATGGATGCCTCTCGGAGTCTTTTTGAAGTTCTTTCGACAGCGTCTTGGAGTCCGCTTGGGGCGTCTTAGGGGTCTCTTGGCATTCTCGGGGGCCTCTTAGGGCGTGTTGGTTGCTTCTGGAGGGGTTCTTGGAGCCTCTTGGGGATCTCTGGGGAGCCTCTGAGCCTCTTGGGAGCATCTAGAGGACCTTTGGGGCCTCTTGGGGCCTCTTGGGGCCTCTTGGGCAACTCTTGAGGCCATCTTTGGGCACCCTTGCGAGCCTTGGGGGCCATCTTGGGGCCATCTAAGAGGAGATCGATCAAAGGAGGGGGGATCCTTGCTTAAGGTCCCCCCCTCCCAGGAGGCCAGCATGTGGCCAACACCTTAGTAACATCCATGACTTTTGGCAATCTCGCAGAGGCCTCTTGGGGCGTCTTGGGTGCCTCTTGGTGGCCGATTGAGGCGTCTTGGGGGTCTCTTGGGAACCTCTTTGGGGCATCTTGGGGGCCTCTTGGGGGCCTCTTGGGGCCTCCTGGGCACCTCTTGGGGCAATCATGCGGCACCCCTTGGGAGCCTCGGGGGCCATCTTGGGGCCATCTGGGAGGAGCTCGATCAAAGGAGGGGGGCTCCTTACTCCAGCTCCCCGTCCCTCTTAGGAGGCCAGCATGTGGCCAACAGCCTAGTACAATCCATGCTTTGGCAATCTCACAGAGGCCTCTTGGGACGCCTTAGGGATCTCTTGGGGGCCTCTTAGGGGCATCTTGGGGGCCTCTTTGGGGTATCTTTGGGGCCTCTTAAGGCCTCCTGGGCACCTCTTGGGGCAATCATGCGGCACCCCTTGGGAGCCTCGGGGGCAATCTTGGGGCCATCTTGGAGAACACCGATCACAGGAGGGGGGCTCCTTACTTAGGTCCCACCCACCCCAGGAGGCCAACATGTGGCCAACACCTTGGTACATCAATGATTTTGGCCTTCTCGCCGAGACCATCTTGGACGCTCCAGCCTCTTGCGAAACGTCCCGTCCAGACCCAGGGGTAGAGGGGTAGGGCGAGGGGCAAACCCTTCCCCGAAGGAGAAGAGTTTCTTCCCCTTCGGGGTGGAGGAGGAGGGAGAGGAGTAGGACGAGGAGGAGGGCAGGGGGCAGGAAGTGTTGGCAGAAGAAGCTCACTAAACCACTCCCGCCCTGAAGGGCTTGTAGGACTTCCTTGCTGGGACCCACGAAGAGGAAATTGAATTTGGAGGGAGGACAGACTGCGACATACGGCCACGCCGTGACGCCCAGAAGCGTATGCTGCACTGCCCTTTTGTGATAGTGGACCGCTTCCCAGGGCCCATTGGACTGGACTGGACTGGACTGGACTCCCTCCTCCTCCCTGCTCCCAGCTCCTCCCAGCTCCTCGTGCCCTTGCCCCCGCGGCTCCCCCCTGCTCCCTGCTCCCTCCCTGCTCCCTCCCGCCCTGCTCCTCCCGCCCTGCTCCCTCCCTGCTCCCTCCCTGCTCCTCCCTGCCCGCCCTGCGCCTCCCTGCTCCTCCCTCCCCGCTCCCTCGCTGGACTCCTCCTCCGTCTGCTCCTCCCTGCCCCTCCCTGCCCCTCCCGGCTCCTCTTGCCCTTGCCCCCCCCTCCCCTTCCGAGGATGATGATGATGATGATGATGATGATGATGATGATGATGATGATGATGATGATGATGATGATGATGATGATGATGATGATGATGATGATGATGATGATGATGATGATGATGATGATGATGATGATGATGATGATGATGATGATGATGATGATGATGATGATGATGATGTGATGATGATGATGATTGATGATGATGATGGATGATGAGAGAGGAGGGAGGAGGAGGAGGAGGAGGGAGGAGGAGGAGGAGGAGGAGGAGGAGGAGGACTCCCCCCCCCTCTCCCTAGGGACCCCCCTCCCTCCCGGTGTGCAGGTCGGCCGCCCGCCGCCCGAGCCCGGGTACGCCGGGAGCGAGGGCCCGCTGCCGCGCACGGGCGAGCCGCCCGCTCCGGGGTGGGGTGGGGGGGAGTCCTCCTCCTCCTTCTCTTCCTCCTCCTCCTCCTCCTCCTCCTTCTCCTTCTCCTTCTCCTTCTCCTCCTCCTCCTCCTCATCATCATCATCGTCGGAAGGGGAGGGGGGGGGGGGCGGAGGTCGGCGGCTGCGGAGGGCGTGGCTGCTCGGGCCGAAGGAACGGTCAGAGACCCGAATCATCAGGGGTGACTCGGGTCAGGGCTAGCTCGGGTTCGTTCTTCGGGAGTCCGAACCCGAGTTACCCCGGACCCGCGTTACCCCGGATAACTCGGGCGTCCAGGGGGGGGGGCGGAGGTCGGCGGCTGCGGAGGGCGTGGCTGCTCGGGCCGGAGGAACGGGGGGGATAGGCAGGGCGCCATACGCGAACCCTGCCCCTGGCGGCCCGCTCCGGGGTGGGGGTGGGGGGGGGGGGAGGTCGGCGGCTGCGGAGGGCGTGCCTGCTCGGGCCGAACGGACGGGGGGATGGGCGGGGCGCCACACGCGAAGCCTGCCCCTGCCCCCCACGATCTCTGAGGGGGAGGGTGGGGTTCCCTCCGTGCGGGAGCTCCCCAGCGAAGTGAACCCCACCCTCCCCCTCAGAAATCGTGGGGGGGTAGGGGTAGGGTTCGCGTGTGGTCCCCTAATAGGGAAAAGGGGGGGGTACGAAGTCTGCTGCATGCAGCTGGTTTCGGCCCCGCCGCCGGGCCCATTCCTCGACACATGGGCGCCTCCGGCGCCGGGAGGCGCCGGGGAATCAGCTACGCGAGCTGATTCTCACCCCCCCCCTTTGCTATCCCCCCCCTTTCGCCCGGCCGAGCTGCGGGGGAGGAAAATCAGGGGCAACGATAGGGGGGGATGCATCGACACCCGATCGCCCATTGATCGCGAAAAGGGGCCCGATGGCCCCCGACCTGCCCATGAAGGTGCGGAGTCACGATCGGAGGCCCATCGCCGATCCGTCGGCGATGCATCGCCGATTCCAGGTCGATGCATCCCCCCCTAGATCAGTCCCCCCTATCGTTGCCCCTCCGAAAAGCCCAGGCCCCCTCGTGTCATGAAGCCCTTCCCTTCGTGGCTAGGCCTGGCGGCGAACACGGCGCGGCCGACGCCGTCGAGGGCCCCGCGCGCGAGGTCCGCCAGCGACGAGGCGTGGGGCACCTCCTCGCCCATGCGGAGCTCCCTGGCGGGGAGCTCCGGCGGCATCGCCTCTCGGCAGCTTCAGGCCCACCCCACTTGCAATACCCCCTCGGGTTAGGAAACAGTCACGACGGGATGCTTTTCGGTCTTTTCTGCCTCTCGGGGCCCTCAACGGGCCTCGGGACCGTGGAAGAACGGCTCAGGATGAAAAACCGGTCCCGGGGAGTGGGTCTGGACCTCAGGGGGTCGCGCCATGAAAAATTTATCATGTCGGGGGTCTGGGAGGTAATTATCCATACTGCTATCCGTCGCCCATTTTCCCTCCTTTTGGGCCTCCTGGGAGGCCCTCGTCGTTACTGGGGGATTCGCCTCGGGTTTCTGGTCAGAGTGCACCGTGCACCCTGCGAGAGGTCCGGGGAGTAGCGGTATGGGTACCGTTGGGTTTTCCCAGTGGTTGCGGATGGTTCGCGCCGTGTCGACTGGCGGCGACTCCGCCGCCGGCGTTCAGCGTTGAACGCCGCTGGCGACCCAGAATCGGTGGATGCTGAACGGCCTGACGTTTCGGAAGCGGCCGATCTTTCTAGGTTGAACGGTCCCCGCGGTGTCAGGAACCAACGCTGGAGTCGACACGGCACGATCCTGCGGTACGCCAGGGTGTGATTCGCGATCGGCGCCGTTGGGGCTTTGGGGGCGCGATGCTGTCCTCGTCGGGCCCCCTCGGGGCGCGGCGGAGAGTTCAGTCGAGGTTCTCGCTCGCACCCCAGGGTGCCAGTTGCAAACCGCACCTTTTTTCCAAACCGCACCCTTCGGAGTCGCCGAGGGGCGGGCTGGGACAAACGGAGCGGACAGGAGGGTGGCGCGAGCGGTCGGTCACCACATTTTCGGGCTGGGTGACAAGCTACAGACGAGCTTTGTTCGTAGGTCGACCCTGCCAAGCCGAAGGTATATGCTTGCGCCCTGGGTGTTGGTTGCCCATGCCTTCTGCGTTCCTATGGCAGTGTGGCCCTCGGCAGGGTCCGGTGTCCTCCCTCGCGTCCCCTACAAGCAGTCTCGACTGTAGCTGATGCGCGAGGCGCTGGCCAGGGCGCCGATGCCCGCGCGGCTCCGGAGGAGGGGCGACGGCTGAGGCGTTGGTGGCCGGTGCCGCTGCTCCTCCCGGGAAGCCCTCGCCGCCACTGCTGGATCCTCCTCGGAGTCCTGGTCAGAACGCGCTCCAGGAGAGGTCCGGGGGGGGGCAACCAGGGCAGGTAGGAGAGGGTGGCGCGGGGGGTGGGGGGCAGCCCTCTTGCCGATGCCATTGGCCTTGCCTCACTGTTGCCTTCTTGGTTCTGCCCGGAGGCTCTCTTCGCCACGGCTGGATTCGCTTCGGAAGCCTTGGGCAGAGCGCAGCACCCCGAGAGAGGTCCAGGGAGTCCCCACTTCCAAGACGGCGGGAGGCTTCATAGAAGGCGGGTGCATTCTCAGAAGGGCCTGGGGGTCTTCCAGGAAGGCTTCTTCGAAGCCAGGAGGGATTCCAAGAAGCCATCCGCTTTCTTAGAACCCTTCCGCCTTCTTAGAAGTCGCGCTCCCCTGGCGCGACCCCTTGGTGCGCGCCGCCGAGGGGGGGTGGTCAGGCTGGGTGGCTGAAGGGCCGAGTCTCAGAGGAGGAGAGAGATGGATATTCACACACACACGTGCATCTATCTATCGACATTTATATATATATATATATATATCTATAACTCCGCGGGCTGGGCGTTTTACCTGAGACTGCCTTACCATATATGGCCCTGCAGCTCTTTCAAGATAACAACTTGTTGTTACAGATCTGTATACGTATATACATACATTCATATATACATACGTATACGTGCATATACTTATGAAAGAAAATCACTGCTCGAGGGCGGGTAGTTTTCACAATGTGGTTCTCGCCTTAGGGCCGCACACACTCATTTTTTAAAAGTTGCGAGAGCTTCACGGATTGAGGGCGGGTCGTTTTCAAAAGTTTATTCTCGCATGAGCGCCGCGAACATTCGCTCTAAAATGTGCAAGAATCTCTCGGGCTGAAGGCGGGTGGCTTTTCAAAATGTGGCTCTCGCAGTAACGCCGCGCACGTTCGTCTTAAAAGTTCCCCAATGCTTTACAGATTGAAGGCGGGTCGTTCTCAAAATATGGCTCTCGCCATGGTGCCGCGCACACTCGTCCTAAAAAACGCAAGACCTTCACGAATTGACGGCGAATGGTTTTCAAAGTGTGACTCTCGCCCTAGCGAGGGCCCTCCGAAATTCCATCCTCAGAAGCCCCATCCTCAGAAAGATTGTGAGCAACGCCTTCGACGAAGAATGTGTCGATCTGTATTGCAAAACTCTTACACACGTGCTCAAAACTCATACGTCGTGAAAGTCGCAGTAGTAATCGAAACATACAAATACATACAATAGTCATAAGACCAGCAGCAACGCTAGGAATCGTAATATCGTACGCCATTACAAAATAATACCAGCAAAAATAATAACAATACGCACTATCACAATAAGAATGATGGGAGTTGTAATAGCCATGGTAATACGCATGGGAATAATAATGGTAACACCAATAGTGGCGATAGCAAAGGGAATAGCTACCCTTATGAAGTAGGTAGTAATTGTAGTAGTAATAAAGAAGCATGGAAACATATGAGAGAAATTAATACACATGGGAGTAAGAGCAAACGCAATCGTGACTCTAGACGTAGCAATAGTGGCAACACCATTCGTATACGAATCGGAGTTATACGCGGAGTAGTTGTAGCAGCGGTAGTAGTAGTAGTAGTAGTAGTAGTAGTAGTAGTAGTAGTAGTAGTAGTAGTAGTAGTAGTAGTAGTAGTAGCAGCAGCAGCAGTAGTAGTAGTAGTAGTAGTAGTAGTAGTAGTAGTAGTAGTAGTAGTTAGCAGTTAGCAGTTGGCAGTTAGCAGTTAGCAGTTAGTAGTAGTAGTAGTAGTAGTAGTAGTAGTAGTAGTAGTAGTAGGAGTAGTAGTAGTAGTAGTAAGTAGTAGTAGTAGTAGTAGTAGTAGTAGTAGTAGTAGTAGTAGTAGTAGTAGTAGTAGTAGTAGTAGTAGTAGTAGTAGTAGTAGTCGTAGTAGTAGTAGTAGTAGTAGTAGTAGTAGTAGTAGTAGTAGTAGTAGTAGTAGTAGTAGTAGTAGTAGTAGTAGTAGTAGTAGTAGTAGTAGTAGTAGTAGTAGTAGTAGTAGTAGTAGTAGTAGTAGTAGTAGTAGTAGTAGTAGTAGTAGGAACACTACAAGAAGAAGTAGTAGTAGTTAGCAGTTAGCAGTTAGCAGTTAGCAGTTAGCAGTTAGCAGTTAGCAGGTAGTAGTAGTAGTAGTAGTAGTAGTAGTAGTAGTAGTAGTAGTAGTAGTAGTAGTAGTAGTAGTAGTACGAGTAGTAGAGAGAGAGAGAGAGAGAGAGAGAGAGAGAGAGAGAGAGAGAGACAGAGAGAGAGAGAGAGAGAAAACGGCCCCGTAAGACAGGTTCGCTACCTTGTGAGTGCGAGTCCCTGCGGGTCAGTGTGGGGAGAGCAGCTGTTGGCCCTCTCGCGTGCCCATGACGATGGGGGCGCGCTGGGCGAGCAGGGCTCCCAAGCATGGGGGAGGACGACGACACGACCTCACTCGACGCAGGGAACAGAAGAGAGGATGCAGGAGGCCCCTTCGTGCCAAGCTTGTGCTGGTGGGGTCTAACTATTAGTCTACCTACGACCTGCTGCGCCCACGCTTCTAACAGAGTCCTTCCCTCTCTAGGTTCACTTTTCTTAGGACGAGGAGGAGGAGGAGGACGAGGACGAGGAGGAGGACGAGGACGAAGACGAGGAGGAGGAGGAGGAGGAGGAGGAGGAGGAGGAGGAGGAGGAGGAGGATTGGGAGCAGGAGGAGCATGAGGGACCAGGAGAGAGAGCGAGAGAGAGAGAGAGAGAGAGAGAACGGCCCTGCGAGGCGAACCGCCGCTCGACGCCCCGGGCCCGCCGCCCGCCGCCCCCCGCGAGCCTGGCTGGTGCGCCGTGGCCTGACCCGCGGGCGGGGCTGCGCCAGGCTTGCCCGGCGGAGGCCCGGGAGGCGCCCGCTCGAAGGCCGTGGGCGGGCCAGCGCCCGCTGCACTCGCAGCGTGAAGGCGGCCCGGTGCGACTACCTCGAGCTTGCTTTCCCGTCGGTGTGGGTCAGGGGCTGCGGCCCGCAGGCCAGGGGGAGTCCAGCAGCGACGGCATGCTCTTGGCGCGTCGGGGTCGCCTCGTTTGGAGGGGACACTGCGGACTGCGCCGGGCGCACGGGGCCCGACCCCTCCGCCGCCCCCGCGGGCTGCCGTGCCGAGGGGAGGTGAACGCGTGCGTCCATACAGCCGGGGCCCTGCAGAAGGAACCCTTTTCTTTGGGGAGGGGCTCGGTGTTCCTTGATTGTTCTACAGTTTGCCTTCTGTTTTCCTGAGGTTTTCCATGGGAAATCGAAGTTCAACTTACGTGAGAAAGCGGCCCCGTTCCTTATTTAGGGTTCCTTAGGTCAACGCCCCGACTGTAATAGCTCGTTCGCGCGAGGCCCGGTGAGCAAGCAGTGGTGCAGCCAGGGCTTCGTCCTGCCGAGCGGAAAAGGATCGCCGCCGGCCTCCCCCCCTCCCCCTCAGGTTCCCCTCTGGCTCCCCCATGCCTCCCCTGCCGAGCGGCTTGGGAGGCATGGTGCCTGCCGTGCGCTGATTTCTTTATCTCAGCGGCAGGTGGCGTGGATGCCTTCCTCCCTCTGCTCATCCTACTTCTTTCTTACCTTATCTTATCTTATCATCCCTCCCCTGCCTGCTCCCCCTCCCTCTCCCCCCCTGTCGGGGATGGCCTCCCCCTCGACTTGCTTTGGGTTCGGGGCCACTGCCCCCGGCACAGGCCGGTGACTGCCCGCCTCCCCTGGGGGACGTCTCCGCGCTCCGCTCCGGCTCCGCTCTGGCCCCCCTCTTCGGAGGGCACCAACTATACACCAACACCGATCCTGGCCCAGGATCACCCTGGGCCCATGATCGGTGTATATATGCCTTCTTGCGCAAGGCGGGAGGGCGTATACACCGATCCTGGGCCCAGGGTGATCCTGGCCAGGATCGGTGTTGGTGTATAGTTGGTGCCTTCCTACCTCTTGCCAGTCTGCCCGATGGGGTCCGATGGCATCCTGAGCCACAGCCTGGTCCACAGAAGGCCTGTCCTGGCATCGGGGCCTCCGCTTTGGAGCCCTCGTCGGGCCCGAGCTCGCTGGGAGGGGACCCGTGCCCCGCCGAGACGACGAAAGCGACAACAAATTCGGATGCAACTCCTGGGAGGTCAAATTCAGAGCTCGCCCTGGTCCGAAATCCGGCTCAATCCGGTTTGTTCCCGCTTGCTCCTGCCTAGTCCCGTTGAACCCGGCTTAATCCCGCTTGATCCGCGGTCCAATCCGGAGTAGCAGCCCCATCCTTCCGACGAAGACCTCCCAGTAGTTTCAGGAGGGGGCAAAGACACACAGGCACAATTCACTGTCGATTCCCCAGGACATCTGGGAAGCCATGGGAGGTGGGGGGGGAAGACGAAAATCCCCCCAAAATGGGAAAGTATGGGGACTCCTGTCACTTGTGTGTATTTCTTTGTGTGCCCTTGGGCCTCCTCGCGGTTGCCTCCTGGGCCTCCTGGTGACTGGCCGGGGCGCCGTCTGCCGACGTGCGCGGCAGCCTCGTGCCGTGCCGGTACGGCGGCGACCTCAGCGGCGCGGGCGCCCCGGGTCTGCAGGTCGCCGGCCTGCGCCTGACTAGCGACATCGACAGGGGGCCACACGCGAACCCTGCCCCTACTCCCCACGAGTTCTGGAGGGGAGGGCTGGGTTCACCTCGTTCGAGAGCTCCCGAGCGAAGTGAACCCCACCCTCCTCCTAAAAAATCGTGGGTGGTAGGGGTAGGGTTCGCGTGTGGCCCCCTACAGGTCTGCAGGTCGCCGGCCTGCGCCTGACTGGCGACATCGAGCGAGCCTGCGCGATCAGCACGCCCAGAGATCGAACGTATTGAAGAAAGCACGACGGGTTTTTTGTTGTCGCTATTTCTTCGGCCTCTGGGGGCCCTCGCCGGGCCCCAGGACCGTCAAAAAACGACTCAGGATGAGAAATCGGTCCTGGAGAAGGGGTCGAGACTTCTGGGGACCCCGTCTTGAAAAAATCACGACATCGGATCTATGGGAGCCGCGGTCGGTCAAGGCTGAGCGATCCACGCGGCGCCACCGAGCAAGTCGTCACTACCCGAACCCGCCGTACGGTAGGTTCGCATCGTGTCGACTGGCGGCGACCCCGCCGCCGGCGTCCAACGTTGAACCCCGCAGGCGACCCAGAATCGGTCGATCCCCGCGGTGTCAGGAATCCACGCCAGGGTCGACACGACACGAACCTGCCGTACCCTCTCCCTCATGCCTCGTCGTAAGTCGGGCGTGTCCCCCTGCAGGCGGATTTGGGAGATACTCCAAACATTTTCAAAAATAGTCGAAAAATCGTCCCCGATTATTTTTTGACTATCTATGAATATTCTTTCTGTAGAAGGACATGCCCGACTTAAGCTTCGTCTCCCCCTCCATATTTAAGAAAAAACACCAGAAATGCGCAGAAATAGTCGAAACATCGTCCCCAGACTATTTTTTGACTACTTTTGAATATTCCTCCTGTAGAGGGACACGCCCGACGTAAGCCCACGTACATTAACACGGTCCCCCAATCCAGGAGACCGTCCGCATGATGCGAACGTTCGCGCAATGCGTACTCTCGAAAACAGCGTGGATCCATTTGCGTGTGCGTCGTGCGTCCTGCTGTCGCTCCTCACCTCCTGCCTCCCCCCTCCTCTGCCAGAAGCACACAAATCTCTCACAAAGTCTCCCGTCGAGGGACATGCCCGACTTTAAGCCTCGCCTCCCCCCTCCCTGAAAGTGCCACCTGGTGCGCCGACTCCGCGGCGGGCGCCCGCCCACCACGAAGAGAGCGACCAGCCTTAGCCCTGCTGTCGTCCTCTCCGTGGGCCCCCCTCGGCGCACGCCTCCCCTCGTCTGAAGTCGGGCCTGTCCCTCGACAGGGGGCATATTCAAAAAACACAAAAATAGGCCACGATCTTTTGTTTATTTTTGACGGCTTTTTTTCCCAACCCTCCTTGGTTGGGTATTCGTTTGGAATAGAGCACTGTGGTCGCGTCCCTTCTTCTCCCGCCTCCCACCTCCTCCTGCCTTCTCTTCGCCGACGACGGGGGCTGCGATCTGCGAAACTGTCGCCACTTTCGAGGGCTGCTGGTGGGTCCTGCGGAGTGAGGCACCGCGCAGATCTGAGCGGGACCTCGCCGTGCCTGGGGGGCTGCGATTTGCCAAACCATCGCCACTTTCGAGGGCTGCTGGTGGGTCCTGCGGAGTGAGGCACCGCGCAGATCTGATCTGAGCGGGACCTCGCCGTGCCTGGGGGGCTGCGATCTGCGAAGCTGTCGCCACTTTCGAGGGCTGCTGGTGGGTCCAGCGGAGTGAGGCACCGCGCAGATTCGAGCGGGACCTCGCCGTGCCAGGGGGGCTGCGATCTGCGAAGCTGTCGCCATTTTCGTGGGCTGCTGGTGGGTCCTGCGGGGTGAGGCACCGCGCAGATTTGAGCGGGACCTCGCCGTGCCAGGGGGGCTGCGATCTGCGAAATTGCCGCCACTTTCGAGGGCTGCTGGTGGGTCCTGCGGAGTGCGATCTGAGCGGGACCTCGCCGTGCCAGGGGGGCTGCGATCTGCGAATTTGTCTCCACTTTCGAGGGCTGCTAGTGGGTCCTGCGGAGTGAGGCACCGCGCAGATCTGAGCGGGACCTCGCCGTGCCAGGGGGGCTGCGATCTGCGAAATTGTCGCCACTTTCGAAGGCTGCTGGTGGGTCCTGCGGAATGAGGCACCGCGCAGATCTGAGCGGGACCTCGCGGTCCCTGGGGGGCTGCGATCTGCGAATTTGTCGCCATTTTCGAGGGCTGCTGGTGGGTCCAGCGGAGTGAGGCACTGCGCAGATCTGAGCGGGGCCTCGCCGTGCCTGGGGGGCTGCGATCTGCGAAGCTGCCGCCCTTTCGAGGGCTGCTGGTGGGTCCAGCGGAGTGAGGCACCGCGCAGATCTGAGCGGGACCTCGCCGTGCCAGGGGGGCTGCGATCTGCGAATTTGTCTCCACCTTCGAGGGCTGCTGGTGGGTCCTGCGGAGTGAGGCACCGCGGGGATCTGAGCGGGACCTCGCCGTCCCTGGGGGGCTGCGATCTGCGAAACTGTCGCCACTTTCGAGGGCTGCTGGTGGGTCCTGCGGAGTGAGGCACCGCGCAGATCTGAGCGGGCCCTCGGCCGTGCCTGGGGGCTGCGATCTGCAAGACTTTCGAGGGCTGCTGGTGGGTGGGGGGCTGCGATCTGCGAAACGGAGTGAGTGGCACCGCGCAGATCTGAGCGGACCTCGCCGTGCCTGAGGGCTGCGCTGCGCGATCTGCGAAGCTGTCGCCACTTTCGAGGGCTGCTGGTGGGTCCAGCGGAGTGAGGCACCGCGCAGATCTGAGCGGGACCTCGCCGTGCCTGGGGGGCTGCGATCTGCGAAACGGTCGCCACTTTCGAGGGCTGCTGGTGGGTCCTGCGGAGTGAGGCACCGCGCAGATCTGAGCGGGACCTCGCCGTGCCTGGGGGGCTGCGATCTGCGAAACCGTCGCAACTTTCGAAGGCTGGTGGCGGGTTCAGCGGAGCGAGGCTCCAAACAGATCTGAGCGAGACATCGCAATCCTTGGGGGGCTGCGAGCCTCACGAATGCCGCTCGCAGAAGTAGATGCGCCCATGTCACGTCATCACCTCCGTATAACGTCTCCCAAGCTACTCATGCCCCGCATTGCGCAGGGGTTGGGTACGTCGCCAGTGTAATTGAACGTTTATTATTTTTCGCCCGAAATCCGCCTGCTGTAGAGGGACACGCCTGACCTAACCCTCGTCCCCTCCTCCCTTGGCTTTGGGCCTCCCAGATTGGGTCGAAGTAGTTGGGGTCGGAGCATCGCGCCGCATCGCCGATGCATCGGCGATGCGGCTCGATGTGGAACCCGACTTTCTCTACGCCGACGTCGCCAACGACGTCGCCGATACATCGCCGATGTATCGGCGCTGCACTGGCGATGCGGCGCGATCCTCCGACCCCATCTGCCCAGACCTCATTTGGGAGGCCTTTACTGGTGGACGGAGACTGGTACAGTGGGGGCCCATGCCAAGAAACACCCTGCTTGTCTCCAGGGTGCCCTTGGTTTCTTGGGTTTCGATGGTTTTGGTTTTCTTGTGGAAGGTTTCTTGTGGACTGGCCTCCACTACAGGGGGACACAAAGAAAGGGGCCAAGCCTGGATCCCAGAGTCCCATATCAACGCTGTCCGCGGCGCGGTCGGTTCGGCTGCGTCGACGTCGGCTGCGTTCGGTCGGTTTGGTTTGGTCGGCTGTGGCGTCGTTGTCGCTTCCTTCTGGACTGCTTCCAGGATAATCGGGTTCGGTCGGTTTCGGCCTCGCCATCGGTTCGGTCGGTTTTCGGTTGTTCTGTCGTCGTGGACGGCCTTGCGCCCTCATTCTCTCAGAGAGCTGATCACGTCTAGGGCGGGCATAACCGAATATAGCCCTCCCCAAGGAATGCATAAGCCATATCAGAGTCACATGTACATGAGACCTGTCGCACCTCCTACCTCTGTAATACTGCAGAGTGGCCTGCAGAGAAGCACAATGTAGTGGCAGCAACACCGTCGGCTTCAAATT